AATTTCAAAAAAAAATTCAAAGGGCTGTAACTTTTGAACTAGTAGCCCAATCTTGGAACTGTTTGAAATTATGGATTCTACAGGCCACATTTTATAAGAAAATTTTTTTTCCGGGTCGAACTGAGACAATTTTTTCTAGGGGCTCAAAAAAAGGCGTGTAAACCTTCCTTTTTTTTTACCAAAAATCGACTACACCAAAATTTCTGGGGAAAACACTTTTTCTTATTAATTTGGGTGCGTAGAATCCAAATCAATTCGTACTTTTTCGACCAAACTTCTCAATCAAAAGTTATAGACTAGAAACCAATTTCAAAAAACAATTCAAAGGGCTGTAACTTTTGAACTAGTAGCCCAATCTTGGAACTGTTTGAAATTATGGATTCTACAGGCCACATTCTATAAGAAAAAATTTTTTCCGGGTCGATCTGAGACAATTTTTTTTTCGGGGCTCAAAAAAAGGCAGTGTATAACCTTCCTTTTTTACCAAAAATTGACTACACCAAAATTTCTCGGGAAAACACTTTTTCTTATTAATTTTGGTGCGTAGAATCCAAAACAATTCGTACTTTTTCGATCAGACTTCTCAATCAAAAGTTATAGACTAGAAACCAATTTCAAAAAAAATTCAAAGGGCTGTAACTTTTGAACTAGTAGCCCAATCTTGGAACTGTTTGAAATTATGGATTCTACAGGCCACATTCTATAAGAAAATTTTTTTTCCGGGTCGATCTGAGACATTTTTTTTTCGGGCCTCAAAAAAAGGCAGTGTATAACCTTCCTTTTTTACCAAAAATCGACTGCACCAAAATTTCTTGGGAAAACACTTTTTCTTATTAATTTTGGTGCGTAGAATCCAAAACAATTCGTACTTTTTCGATCAGACTTCTCAATCAAAAGTTATAGACTAGGAACCAATTTGAAAAAAAATTCAAAGGGCTGTAACTTTTGAACTAGTAGCCCAATCTTGGAACTGTTTGAAATTATGGATTCTACAGGCCACATTCTATAAGAAAATTTTTTTTCCGGGTCGATCTGAGACAATTTTTTTTTCGGGGCTCAAAAAAAGGCAGTGTATAACCTTCCTTTTTTACCAAAAATCGACTACACCAAAATTTCTCGGGAAAACACTTTTTCTTATTAATTTGGGTGCGTAGAATCCAAATCAATTCGTACTTTTTCGATCAAACTTCTCAATCAAAAGTTATAGACTAGAAACCAATTTTGAAAAAAAATTCAAAGGGCTGTAACTTTTGAACTAGTAGCCCAATCACTTCGGCACAAACTGACTCCCCCTCTCAGACCATTATTCTGCCTAGGTTTGTGCCGATCTCGTTTTTGACTCGTTCAGAATTGATACAGATCTCTCATTAAACTTCCAAAAAAGGAAAATAGTTTCAAAACCAGTGCCCAGCGAGCTGAGCGCGAGCCGGGCACAAACCTAGGCAAAATAAAGGTCTGATTGGGCGAGTCAATTTGTGCCGAATTTCCAAATTTTTGAACTTACATGCTGCGACATCCATATCTCAACCATATCTTTCTCGTAGCCCTTCAACATGGCCTCCGCATTTTTGTACCTCTTAGTGAGCTCGACGGCGGCTGGTAGCGTTTTCAAAATCGGATGGTCGGTCACGTTTTCCATAAGTTCCGACAGATGATACACCAAGGATCTCGCCCACTTAATTCGCCCTAAAATGCCCTTAAAAAGAGACGCGACGCAACTATTCGGCGACTTACCCGCAATCGGCGGAAACATCCGACACACCGGCGGATCGTCCTTCTCCTTCTTGTACATTGTAACGATACGGCTCACCTCCTTCTCGCAGTACTTCAGTATGCGCTCGTACTTGTTGTCCATGTTCGTTAGCGGAATCTTCTCCTTGACCTTCTCGAATTTGGAGAGGAACTTGATGCCCTGAGGCGTCTCCCATACGTTCTCGTAGTTGAGCTCGATGATGTTCGCGATCTCCTTCTTCAGGTCCTCGAGACGCGCCAGGAACGATTGAAAGTCGTTGTCGAACTCGGCGTTTCGCTGGTCCAAGTAGTCGTAGGGCTTGTTGACGATTATCCCTTCGGCCTCGTTGAAGCTCAAAACCGCCTCGTCTAGAGCTTAAGGGGGGGTTAGATGGGGAAGAAGGCGGGCGACCACTTACTTTCGCCCAGCAAAAGGCCTTCCATGCGCTTCTTGAAAAGCTCGCTGAAGTCGTCGATGATGTCGAACATTGCGATGATCTTTCCCAGGCGGTTGCAAAACGCGTTGAACTTGCCGAAGACGTAGTTTTCGGAGAAGTTAAAGGGCATCTGGTCGGGAATGAAGGGTTGGCTTTTGACGGTGTGGTACGTGCGCCTGTAGATCTGATTCAGCACGATACACTGGGTCAGTTTCTCTTTGACGAGGGCCCTGTCTTGCGACCAGATCGTCTCGTTACCTCTGCAGGTCACGTACTCCTTGCACGTCTCGATCATCTGGTTTGTGATCTTCACCATGAGGGCCGAGGTTCGCTCGGAGGTGTTGTAGAATTGGGAGACGCTGTGGATTAATCGTACGGTTTGCAGTAGGCCCAATATTGAGTCTTTCATTTTAACCTGGAAGAGGCGTTAGGGTGGACGGTTGAAGAGGGGGCACTTACGGGATCGTCCAGGTAAAGGGAGTGGCAGTTCTTTTCGAGGGCCTGTATGAACTTTGCGTTGTCCTTGGCCTCGTTGTAACAAAAGGTGATTTTCTGGTCGGTCTCGCGCCACTCCTTCATTACCTTGGAGCGCGCGAACTGGAGGCACATGATGGTAAATTGCACCTCCTGCACTTGGAGTTGGTTGACGATCTGCGAGAATGTGGCGCCACGTTTCTTCCAGTATTCCAGTTCGTCTTGAGGGCCTACAAGCCAAGTTGTAATGTGCTAATATATTCCATACCCCCCCCCCCCCCGACCCCTCTATGATACGTTTCCCCACAAAAGACCTGAAAACTCTTTTGAAACATTATTGCTTACTAACATTTAGGTGAAGAATGTAGAACAGGGGGGTCTGGGGGGTATGAAATACCCGCAGGAACAAGAAACAGTTAATCTTCATTTACCTGCGTACACTGGGGGGTATTCCATACCCTCCCAGACCCCCCGGTCATACGTTTACCCCAAAACGTTCAGCCCTAAAAATCCTTTTGAAAAATTATGGTGTAAGGTGCTAAGGGTACTAACATTTTGGTGAAGAATGTAGAGCAGGGGGTCTGGGGGGTATGGAATACCCCCAGGAACAAGAAAGAGTTAATCTTCATTTACCATCATACACTGGGGGGTACTCCATACCCCCCAGACCCCCCCCCCCCCCCGTCATACGTTTACCCCCAAAACGTTCAGGCCTAAAAATCCTTTTGAAAAATTATGGTGTAAGTGCTAAGGGTACTAACATTTTGGTGAAGAATGTAGAACAGGGGGGTCTGGGGGGTATGAAATACCCGCAGGAACAAGAAACAGTTAATCTTCATTTACCTGCGTACACTGGGGGGTATTCTATACCCCTAGACCCCCCGGTCATACGTTCACCCTCAAAACGTTCAGGCCTAAAAATCCCTTTGAAAAATAATGGTGTAAGTGCTAAGGGTACTAACATTTTGGTGAAGAATGTAGAACAGGGGGGGCCTGGGGGTATGAAATACCCCCCAGGAACAAGAAACAGTTAATCCTCATTTACTTGCGTACACTGGGGGGTATTCCATACCCCCCAGACCCACCCGATCATACGTTTACCCTCAAAACGTTCAGCGCTAAAAACTCTTTCGAAAAATTATGGTGTAAGTGCTAAGGGTACAAGCATTTTAGTACAGAATGTAGAACCGGGGGGTCTGGGGGGTATGGAATACCCCCCAGGAACAAGAAACAGTTAATCTTCATTTACTTGCGTACACTGTGGGGTATTCCATACCCCCCAGACCCCCTGGTCATACGTTTACCCCCAAAACGTTCAGCCCTAAAAACTATTTTGAAAAATGATGGTTGAAGGTGCTAAGAGTACTAACATTTTGGTGAAGAATGTAGAACCGGGGTGTCTGGGGGGTATGGAATACCCCCCCAGGAACAATACACAGTTAATCTTCATTCACTTGCGTACACTGGGGGGTATTCCATACCCCCCCGCGACCCCCCGGTCATACGTTTACCGGGGGGTCTGGGGGGTATTCCATAACCCCCAGACCCACCCGATCATACGTTTACCCTCAAAACGTTCAGCGCTAAAAACTCTTTCGAAAAATTATGGTGTAAGTGCTAAGGGTACAAGCATTTTAGTACAGAATGTAGAACCGGGGGGTCTGGGGGGGGGGGGTATGGAATACCATCTGCATATTTTTTGCTGAATTGCGGACTTCACTTTAAAGATGCAAATCCATTATTGCTTGAATGCTTTTGCTAACTTCACGCGAATCTATTATATCAGTACCCACCTGAGGAGTCATTCTCCCTACGAATCTGGTCGCTCTCCTTAAGGGTGTCCGAAAGGTACTTCATCCAATTCTTCACCCTGTTCTGCAAAAACTCCACTTCGTCAGGTTGTTTCGCCAGCTCCTTCAGTTGCTCCACGTTCAGGCCCGACACGAGCGTTCTGCCGTCGTCGAAGATATTCGGTTTGCCGCAGACCTCCTCGCAAACTGAAACTCAGGGTGAATCGCGGATTATGACTAAACCGGGTACCTTTTAGTGCGCTGCAGAACGATCTGAGTCCCGGTAGAAGTTGGTTTTTGACCATGGGGCAGTTGGAGGCGTCGTCCTCGCAGTCGTTGCTGGGAAAGGCGAGCGCCTCCATGAAAACGTGTCGAATAATGCGTTCGACCGCGGTTACCAGTCCGATTCTCTCCGCGTCGATTACGCCACAGTACAGGTCCTTGTGGAAGCCTTCCTCTGGGAGCTGTTTCGTTGTGTTAATTCGAAAGATGTAAATGCAAATTCCGGTAAGAGGATACTCCCAGCCGTCCGTGAGGAAGAGTTTCTTCTTCGTCACCGTGTTATGCGTGCGACTAACGCTCGTCTGCAGGGTGCGACTGGTACCGGGTTTGTTAACATCAACCGGCACCTCGACCTCCTCCTCCATGTCCTGGTAGAACCACATCAGTTTCGTTTTCGCGTGGGGAATGAACAGTTGGTTAATTTCGTCCAGCTGAAAGCGAGAGGGGCTCGAACAGTGTACAAGAGCGAAAGGGTACTCACCATGTTTCCCTCGAACACGTGGTCCATAATCTCGTGCCTGCTCAGTCCGGTGCCATCGATGAGCAGCTGAAAGGTGTACTCCAACCTGGGGTCCATCTCGCCCCTACGCGCCTTCCTCTCGCATTCCTCCCGCCGACGCTGCAACAGCCAAAGTTACACTCAGCGCGACCGAAAACTACAACCAAAATCGTCTCCTCGGACTCATCCTCCGTGCTGGAGTCCACGTCCGAATCGTTAACAATTCGCGGACCATAGACGAACATAGTTTGAGATCTGACTGAAAAGACGAGCACGCGATGGAATTACAATGTGATAATGCCTTCAAGTGCGATGTAACACAATTAGAGCACTTGCGTTCCTGGCACCACTTATTTATAACTGGGCGAATCGAACCTCCGCACAATTCGAGCCATTTCGTTGATTAGATGGTGTGAAAATGGGAATTTTTCCAATCTTCGATCGCGTGTCCTTTCGCCCTTAACGCTTTTTTTCTCGAGCAGTTCGCAAGAACGCGTGGGGTCATCCGCGAGTGTCAAAATTAGATTGAGCTAATTAAGGGTTGAACCGCCGCTTCGCACCGAGGCAGATAACCAATGAGCGTCGAGGATCTGGTGCCGATAGTGGAAAGAGGGATACCGGATCTTAAGCTAATTTTTGGATAGACCCGGGGTAGGTACCAATTTAACTTTCGCTTCTTTGTATGTGCATTATTGATTTTCTTCGGCACTTTGCATTACTTTTTCTCTAAGAGCGCATAATTTACGTCTGTTGTGCGCTTAAAACGGCGCAAGGTTTCGATTAATTCGTGTTTAAACCTTAGAGGGTACCATTTCTCTTAGCTGAGTGCAAAGTTGTACACCAATCGCGCAAAATTCGGGCTTACCGCTAAATAAAGCACAAATTTTGGACATTTGAATTGGTGCAGATAGCGCATAATTGGTTCTGAATCGCCGCATTATTTGATGCAGCAATGCGCGATAATGATCTCCAATAGATTCTGGACGCATAATTTCAATTCATCGCAAATTAGTTAATTGCGCCTTGAGACCTGTACAGAAATTGGTGTTAATTTAATTCAAATTCGTAATCTAAGACGCTAAGTACCTGACTTTAATTAAATTCCAAATTTGGGTCAGTTTGCACAATTAACTCCATCGTGTCAACTTGACAGAAACTGGAGTGAATTTAGTTTGACTCCAAATTCTAATTGGAGACTCTTAGTAAGATTTTCTTAATTCCAAACGTAATTAATTGTCAAATTTGGTTCAGTTTACGCATATTGTGTCTTAATTATGGATTAACAGGAAGCTCAGCTTAATTATTAATTAACTCTATCATGACCACTTGACAGAAATTGGAATTAATTTAATTTGACTCCAAATTCTAATTTGAGACTCTTTTAGTAAAATGTTCTTAATTCCAAACGTAATTAATTGTCAAATTTGGTTCAGTTTACGCATATTGTGTCTTAATTATGGATTAACAGGAAGCTCAGCTTAATTATTAATTAACTCTATCATGACCACTTGACAGAAATTGGAATTAATTTAATTTGACTCCAAATTCTAATTTGAGACTCTTTTAGTAAAATGTTCTTAATTCCAAACGTAATTAATGGTCAAATTTGGTTCAGTTTACGCATATTATTTTCTAATTACGGATTTACAGGAAGCTCAGCGTAATTATTGATTCACTATATCGTGACCACTTGACAGAAATTGGAATTAATTTAATTTGACTCCAAATTCTAATTTGAGACTCTTTTAGTAAAATTTTCTTAATTCCAAACGTAATTAATGGTCAAATTTGGTTCAGTATACGCATATTATTTTCTAATTACGGATTTACAGGAAGCTCAGCGTAATTATTGATTAACTCTATCGTGACCACTTGACAGAAATTGGAATTAATTTAATTTGACTCCAAATTCTAATTTGAAATCTTTTAGTAAGATTTTTTTAATTCCAAACGTAATTAATGGTCAAATTTGGTTCAGTTTACGCATATTATTTTCTAATTACGGATTTACAGGAAGCTCAGCGTAATTATTGATTCACTATATCGTGACCACTTGACAGAAATTGGAATTAATTTAATTTGACTCCAAATTCTAATTTGAGAATATTTTAGTAAAATTTTATTAATTTCAGACGTAATTAATTGTCAAATTTGGTTCAGTTTACGCATATTACTTTCTAATTACGGATTTACAAGAAGCTCAGCGTAATTATTGATTAACTCTATCGTGACCATTTGACAGAAATTGGAATTAATTTAATTTGACCCCAAATTCTAATTTGAGACTCTTTTAGTAAAATTTACTTAATTCCAATCGTAATTAATGGTCAAATTTGGTTCAGTTTACGCATATTGTATTCTAATTACGGATTTACAGGAACCTCAGCGTAATTATTGATTAACTCTATCGTGACCATTTGACAGAAATTGGAATTAATTTAATTTGACCCCAAATTCTAATTTGAGACTCTTTTAGTAAAATTTACTTAATTCCAAACGTAATTAATGGTCAAATTTGGTTCAGTTTACGCATATTGTATTCTAATTACGGATTTACAGGAACCTCAGCGTAATTATTGATTAACTCTATCGTGACCATTTGACAGAAATTGGAATTAATTTAATTTGACTCCAAATTCTAATTTGAGACTCTTTTAGTAAAATGTTCTTAATTCCAAACGTAATTAATGGTCAAATTTGGTTCAGTTTACGCATATTACTTTCTAATTACGGATTTACAGGAAGCTCAGCGTAATTATTGATTAACTCTATCGTGACCACTTGACAGAAATTGGAATTAATTTAATTTGACGCCAAATTCTAATTTGAGAATATTTTAGTAAAATTTTCTTTTTTTTTTTTTTGTATTGAGCTTCGCAGACGTAATTTATTGTCAAATTTGGTGCAGTTTACGGATATTGTATTTTAATTATGAATTCACAGGAAGCTCAGCTCAATTATTAATTAACTGTATCGTGACCACTTCACACAAATTGGAGTTAAATTAATTTGACTCCAAATTCTAATTTAAGACTCTTTTAGTAAGATTCTCTTAATTCCAGACGTAATTAATTGTCAAATTTAGTTCAATTTACGCATATTGTGTCCTAATTATGGATTAACAGGAAGCTCAGCGAAATTATTAATTAACTCTGTCGTGGCCACTTGACAGAAATTGGAGTTAATTTAATTTGACTCCAAATTCTACTTTTAGACTCTTGTAGTAAGATTTTCTTAATTGCAAACGTAATTAATTGTCAAATTTGGTTCAGTTTACGCATATTGACTATTGTGTCCTAATTATGATTTTACTGGAAGCTCAGAGCAACTGTTAATTAACTGTGTCGTGAGACAGAAATTTGTATTAATTTAATTTGACTCCAAATTCCAATTTTAGACACTTTTTGTAAGATTCTCTTAATTTGCAGGAAGCTCGTAGTGCAATTATTGCTTACTAATTAATTTAATTCGATTCCAAAATCTACTTTAAGGCACTTTTTGAAAATTCTCCTGACGCAATTAATATTCAAAATTGGCTCAGTTTGTGGAATTTGAGCTCTAATTTTTGATTCACGGGAATATTTCTGGAAAGAAAAAAAATTCTCCTATGTGCTGGTCTTGTCCGTCTGTCTGTCTGTCTGTTTGTGCATCTGTACCCCGTCTAACTCGAAAACGAAAAGAGACAGCGACGGCAGACCTTCGCCAATCGATTTCTACGAGTTCAAGGATCAGTGCTGCCAAATTTCATTAGAAATCATTGTCGTGCAATTGGCGCCAATTTCAAATATTCAAATTACTGATGCTTACCTTTCTAACTTAAACTGGTCAACACAAATAAACTCGATCGTAGTCGTTTGAAATTCGAATGCAAACTAAACACCCCTAGCCGAAGTACAGGGTAATTAAATACTCAAACTCTGGCAAACTTTCCAACAGGCCATCAATCAAAGAACTTTAGTTATTAAAATCATTACACATTTCGCGTCGCTTACCTATTTATAAAACGTGCTAATTTTCAGCCAATTTCCCCGTGTAGGTAACGTGCAAAAGGTAATTTAACTCACATTCACGGTCTCCAGGCTGAAGGATCTGCTGGGCATCGCCAATCTCCTCAGTCCGCCAAGCAACACCAGTCGCCCGGTCGCTGGACCTTTTTTGCTCGTCTTCTTCATTTCGGTGGCAAATTTTCTGGATTTTTTTTAATTTTAAGGTAGCAGCTGTAGAAGGGTCTCACCCTAGCAACGTTTTTGTTTTGTCGATGATTCGAAGTGTGATTGAGGGTACTACATCGATTACCTTTTTTTTTAAATTTCAGTGTATACAGTACGTTTCGAAATTATGCGCGGCATATGGAAAAATTGCAGTTTGATTACGACTCGGCTTGTCTTCTTCACGAAACGCCAATATGATCTTTCCCTACACTACTCTACACGATCTTCAGTCCGTTTCAGGAGTAATTTGCTGCTCCGAGAGTATGGAAACCCCCCTCCCCCCCAACGAGAGCGAAATTAAATCATTTGCGGGTAATCATATTAACACTTAACAGCGGCAAGATTTTAAAGCCACACAGCGAACAAGAACTCGACTCGATAACTCTTGCCTGGTAAGAGAACCATATTCTTGTGCTGGGAGGTATTCCATACCCCCCAGACGCCCTGGTAACTCCTTCCCCCACAACATTTTTTACCCGCAGGATTCGCATGGTACTTTTTAGAAAAGGATCATCAGATATCATCTTCTCCTAAGAAGCACCGCAGATAACATAGCTCCGGGAGGTCTGGGGAGTATGGAATACCCCCCTCCCTCAACGAGGGAGAAATTAGATCATTTGCGGATAATCATAATTAACAGAGGCAAGATTTTAAAGCCACACAGCGAACAAGAACTCAACTCTTACCTGGTAAGAGAACTGTCTTCTTGTGCTGGGGGGGGGGGGTATTCCATACCCCCTAGAGCCCCCGGTAACCCCTTCCCCCACAAAATTTCTTGTCCGCAGGACTCATATGGTTACTTTTAAGAGAAGGATTATCATATATCATCTTCTCGTAAGAAGTACTGCAGATAACATAGCTCCGGGAGGTCTGGGGAGTATGGAATGCCCCCTCCCCCCAACGAGAGAGAAATTAGATCATTTGCGGGTAATCATATAAACAGCGGCAAGATTTTAAAGCCACACAGCCAACAAGAACTCGACTCGATAACTCTTGCCTGGTAAGAGAACCATCTTCTTGTGCTGGGGAGTATTCCATACCCCTCCCAGACCCCCCGGTAACCCCTTCCCCCACAAAATTTCTTGTCCGCAGGACTCATATGGTTACTTTTTAGAAAAGGATCATCAGAAATCATCTTCTCCTAAGAAGCACTGCAGATAACATAGCTCAGAGATGTCTGGGGAGTGTGGAATATTCCTTCCGCTCGATAATTGTTACCTAGTAATAGAACCCCTTCGTGTGCTGAGTGGTATTCTATACCCCCCCCCAGACCCCCCCGCCACCGGTAGCACTTTTCTCCACAAAGTTGTTTCCCGTTGGGACTCGCATGGTACTTTTTAGAAAAGGGTCATCAGATATCATCTTCTCCTAAAGTTCATTACAGACAACATACCACCGAGGGGGGGGGGGCAGAATATCCCCCAGCGAGAGAGAAGAATCTCCTCCGGTAACACTTTCCCACAAAACTTTTTGCCCTCGAGACTCCTATGGTGCCCTTTAGAATGGGTGGTGAGGGTATTCGAGACCCCCCCCCCCCATAACACTTTTCTCCACAAAATGTTTTGCCCTTGGGTCTCATATGATGCCTTTTAGAAAAGGATCATCAGATCGTCTTCTCTTAAGAAGCGGAGAACATATAGCACCGGAAGGCCTAGGGAGTATGAGCGAGAGAGAAGGAAGATCAGCAAAAAATGGGTTTTTGAGCTGATCTAGAACTCGCGTTATTTTAATTGCAATTCTTTATTAATTAAACGTACGAGTTTTATATTTAAACAGCAAGCAACGCATCCTACTCGATAATTAACCTTTTCCATTTCCATGCGTCTCTTTTTGCTGGTAACCCCCAACCGTTACCAATTTCCTGAACTCAAAACAATTGACGTTCTGACGTTCGCTTTGCAATTTCCTCTCGAAAAATCAATGCGATTAATTTAAATTTCGGGCATTAATTAAACGACGTCGTCATTTTGAGTTATTGGTAATTAGCGGGTCGGCATGCGATTGTTTCAGCTAAAGCTAAGCTACTTCGATTTAATTTAAAAATTTGCGCTAAACGAACCTTTTCCATCTCCTCATCGTTGATCATGATGTCTGTTGAACTACCGTAAAACAATCACTGACTCGTAGTAATCGAATTGATATTCGATAACGAAATGAGGAGTCCCTTTCATATTACCGATAAAACTATAATATAATATCGGTTACAGCGGAATGCAAAAACGGGGGGGTACGTATCGTGATTTCCCTTTCCGTCTTAATTTAATCGTTTAGGATTAGATCTCTTTAATTTGACAGTGGCACGCATCCGACTTTCCGATTTGCATAAATTATTGACGAATATATTAATTTCGTTCCTAATTCCACGACCCCCAATGCAAATTTCGTCAAAGATAAAGAATTAGAGATCGTGACAGGGGGATGGGGGAGGTCGTACCAGGCTAGTTTACACGCTATTTGCATTCGCCAAGTTTCGGTTAATTTTATTGGCGCAATTACCCGGTGATGCAGTTACAGGAACGAAACGGCATGTGATTACTTACCCTTTGGATTCTTTGCACGAAGAGCACATTTTTTCTGACGCCCTGCATGCAGAGGGACGGAAGCGTTGGTGAGGACTGCGCGGAAGGATTTAAATTATGCGTGTGTGGCTCTAAATTAGATTGCGACCGTGCAAAGCGCCTGCACTTGTTGTTTTATTGACGTCTTCGACGGTCTATTGTGGTTCCAGAACTCATTATGGAGACGGAAAAGGAAGCTGAACACTTTTTGGGAGACCCTCGTGCATCTTTGCAAGCCAATGAGGGCAGCAAAGAGCAGCTCCAGAAGAAGCAGTAGCACTTCTGGCCGGCTACTATAAATATCAATAAATTGATTATTATAAGGTCAAAAATATATGGGTCTACTAATGCATTACGCTTCTGCGGTCCTGATATACTTACTGAATTTTTAATGATCAAGTATTTCCCATTTTCACATTGATGTACAGTGGTCCTAACGCCACAATCTGTGTCAGGAGAATCGGCCAATCCAATTCCAATTTCTCTGCTTTTCTGGTCTCCTGTTATACTTAATTATTTTTTTCTTAAATGTTACAGTTTCGGAAGACGGTACCTAAGACCCGAGGGCGCCCACAAATATACACTTTGTATGTTTCTCAACTTTTGATTTTGATCCTTAAAGAACATTTTAGATCCCCCCACCCCCACCCCCCGTGGCTATGATATAAGACGCAGTATCATGATGGCTTTCTTGAAATGTTAGTAGGACCACTACCTGCTGGATGGTCTTCCATACTCCCAGACCCCCCGGGAACACTTTCTCCCGCAAAACTCAGTACTCTTGTGATGGCATTTTCGAAATGGTCCCGATAATACTTTTCCAACTTTTTGCAGTCGGAACTTACATACTTCTTACTGGGAAAGGATCATAAAATCGTCTTTTCCCAAGAATTATTTGCACAGAACACAGTACGGGATGGGGGGGGGGGGTCTGGGGTTATGTAATACCCCCCAGTCAGAGAAAGAAATTCTATGATATAACACTCAGTACACTCATGATGGCTTTCTTGAAATTTTGGTAGAACCTGCTGGAGGTCTTCCATAGCACACACAGTCAGACGGACAAAATCATCACATAATAAGGGGAATTTTTTTTCTTTGGAAATGTCCCCTAAAATCACGTCGACTACATCACGGCGAAGGTGCTGATGACGATCGTCGAAGGGGCGATACAGCCGGCGGTCCTTGTCGGGGGGAGGGGGGGGGATCTGGGGAAGAGTACAAGGTTAATGAGTCGCGAAAGCTGAGGAGGCTGACCGTCCGGGCAACCCAGGCCTACAGTGGACAATTTCCACAGAAGCGTCGTTGGTTGTCCCGAAAGGCGCGCGGAGCGAAAGGCGCCCCCCCCCGCGGGTACGAGAAGGCAAGGAGGAGAACGTCGAACTGCAAATGCGAACGGAAGGATCGGTGATGGTGGAGAGGGCGGGAGCGGTGATTGTCGCCTACAGGAGTGGCCGGAGGGTCGATACGCAACAGGTCCGACTTGCGAACGGAAGCTTTTCGGTGTTCCAGTGCAAGCTGCTGGGACAATCACGAGGATCGTCCTACGCCCCCCCCCCCCCGCCGCGATTTACAATGAATTTCACAAGGACTGTGTCACATTAACACATTCCCGCCGAAATAGGATTCTCAAAGGCGGCGACCGCATCGCCGCACAATAGCAGAGAGCGGTGCCTCAGCTAACGCTGCCAATAGCGGTGGCGCCTTGCAAGGAGCGCCTCACATTCCTCGATAGCCGGGTTCCCCCAGGGCGGTGGCTCCCCCATCGCACACCCTAGCCATTTAGATAAGCGTAGCGGGGTGCCGAAGGAACCGGCAACCCAAAACCCCGCAATAACGGCCTAGTCAAAGCAACCCAACACGCAGCGGCACCCCCTCCCCCCTCCACAAGTGCGAGAAGGAAGTTTCGATGACAAAAGACCCAGTACTTTCATGATAACTTTCTCGAAATGGTAGTAGAACCATTGCCTGTTTGGGGGGTATTTCATAACCCCCCCCCCTCCCGGCCCCGGTAAGACTTTTCCCTGCAAAACTTTTTGCCCTCGGGACTTACATAGTGCTTTTTGGAAAAGGGCCATAAAATCGTCTTCTTCTGAAAAGTATTTGCAGAGAACATAGTGGCGGGGGATCTGGGGGTATGGAATACACCCCAGCCACAGAAGTTTCTATGAATTCTATGATATAATACTCAGTACTCTTCATGATGGCTTCCTTGAAATGTTAGTAGAATCACTGCCTGCTGGAAGGTAATGGCAGCATAACTAATGTCTGCTAGGGGGGAGGGGGATCCCATACCTCCCAGACCCCCCGGTAATACTTTTCCCCGCAAAACTTTTTGACTTACATAGTCCTTACTGGGAAAGGATCATGAAATCGTTTTTTACAGATATGTATTTGCACACAACACCGTGCACGGGGGGGGGGGGTGTCAAGGGGGTATGGAATACCCTCAGAAATAGAAGGAAGTTTCGATGATATAAGACTCAGTACTATCATGATGACTTTTTCGAAAGTTGAAATGGCCATAGGTCGGCTGGGGGGTGTTCCGTACCCCCGCGGGGAAGCTCCTCGATACGAGAACATCTACAGAAGCCGGCACGACGCGACACGATGCCTCAACGCAAGGACGAACGAGGTGTTGGGGGCCCTCCAGAACCATCACATAAGGGGAATTGTTTTCTATTGAAGAATCCCCTAAAATCACGGCGAAGGTGCTGACGGCTATCCTCGGGGGGGTGAGACAGTCGGCAGTCCTTTATGGGAGAGGGGGGAGATCTAAGCGACCCCTCACGAGTTCGGGCATCCGGCGGACTGCGCGAAAACTTTACGCGTACGAGAAGGCAAGGAGGAGAACGTCGAACTCCAAAAGTTAACGGAAGGGACGGTGACAGAGGAGAGGACGGGAGCGGCGATGGTCACCTGCAAGAGAGGCCGGAGGGTCGGTACGCAACAAGCCAGACTTGCGAACGGGAGCTCATCGATGTTCCAGTGCGAGCTGCTTGAACTACTTAAGGCTGCCGGTTGCCTCTCGGTGTTCTCAGACTTTGAGGCGGCGATCATCGTCATCGCCGCGCCCCATTAACCCACCGAGTTGGCGAGATGGACAAGGAATGTTCGATGAGGCGGCGGAAGCGGGCACCAACGTCCGGCTGTACTGCGGGCCCGCGGGACACGTGAAACGAGAGTAGAGATCTGCACGAGGGGGCAGCATCACTGCCGCACAATCACGAGGATCGTCTTACGCCCCCACCCCCCGCGATTTACAATCAATTTCACAAGGGCTGTGGCACATTAACACACTCCCGCCGAAATGGGACTTTCAAAAGGCGGCGGCGGTCACATCGCCGCACAAACGCAGAGAGCGCCCAAGGAGGCGAAGCGGGGCGGCAACCCAAAACCCCGCAATAACGGCATACTCCCCCTCCCCCCACCAGCGCGAGAAGGATGATAAAACACTCAGTACCTTCATGATGACTTTCTCGAAATGGCAGTAGAACCATTGTCTGTTGGGGGCTTTTTCGAACCCCCCACAGCCACCGGTAACACTTTTACCCCCTCGGGACATACATGGTGCTTGTTGGAAGAGGATCATCTCCTAAGAAGTATTTACAGAGAGAACATAGTACCGGCGGTCTGGGGATATGGAATACCCCCCCCCCCCAGCCAGAGAATGACGTTTGTATGATATAATACTCAGTACTCTTCATGACGGCTTTCTTGAAATTTTACTAGAACTCTTGTCTGCTGGAGGGTTCAATACACATTGTGCTCACACATGTCAAGGTTGGACCCCTCCCCCCCCCCCCCCACCACCAACGAACGAAGGAAGATTCAATAAGACTCAGTACTCTCATGATGGTTTTCTCGAAATGGTAGTATAACCATTGTCTGCTGTGGGCTATTGGAATGTCCCCCAGACCCCCGCTAACACTTTTCCTTCACAAAACTTCTACCTCTCCAGACTTACATGGTCCTTTTAGGAAAAGGATAATAAAATCGTCTTCTACGTAGTAGGTATTTGCAGAGAACATAGTACCTGGAACATCCCCCAGCGAGGGAAGGAAGTTTCGATGACATAAGACTCAGTGCTCTCACGATGTCTTTCTGGAAATGGCACCATCGCCGTGTGCCGGAGGGGGTTAAGTGTTCCTAGGAATGAAAATTTTTATTGGAATTTGTTTTTAATCTCCAGCAGTGGTCCCCAAACTATGGTCCGCGGACCCAAACCGATCTGCTAGCATCACCAATTCGCCCCCTTTCTGTATGTACTTTATCAAAGGGGTTGAAGGAATACAAAAAATAATCGGAAATTTATAATTATAGATACAAACAAGAGATGGCACTGGCACTAGCAACTTTGCATCATTCCAATTGGCTGCTAGGGAGGTCTGGAGGAAATTGAGGAGCAATTAACATGGTTGAAAAGTTTGGAGACCCCTGTCCTAGAGAATCTTCTTGGATTCTCTGTCCTTTTAAAGGTTTTGCACAGGAAATGCTCATCAAGAAATAATACACTGTACATATAATGTATTTACTAGTGATGCAATACTAATCCTAAACACTTACACCTTTTATGTAAGTCCCAACACGTTACTCGGTTAAACTTGAACACCTAACATGTAAAAGAGAGAATACCTCACCGCCGTTTACTCTTAAAGAATTTATTGGCACAAAGTGTTTGTGTCCTCATGATGTTTACACGACACAATACTTAAAGTAACGAAAATACGATGATTAAACTTAAACTACACTATACACCTTGGTCACACCATCGTTCGACTTGTGGGCCCCGCGACTTTATCCAACAACTGCAACAGTAAACGTGTCAAACTTGCTCGCGAATCAACGAACATTAACTTACCATACTAATACCGGGCATATTTAGTACCGTGCCCAGCAGCGGCACCCTCCTCAAGAAATTGACGGCGACTGGGAAAAATCCGCTAAACAACAGCACAAAACCGTACGACTCGAGCAGCATGCCGACCAGCGGCCACCCGACCAAAACTATAATAATACCGCCGAAAAATGCGATCGACGCCCTCACTTTGTGCCGCTGAAAGAAGAATCTGAACGTCCGTTCCAAGCCGATCACGCACGACAGTCCGGCGATGAATAGTATCTACAAAGTCGACGTTAAGTGGCCGAATCGCCGGGCGCAATACGTACGTTTCCCAGTGCGAGCAGACTTTTGTCGAAGAGCATCAGAACGCCGAGGAAGAGGAAGAACATTCCGAAACCCGCGAGTCCTACGCCGATCTCTGCAAGGAAGAGGTAAAACACTGACGTTCGCATTGCCAATTTCTTACTCTGCGTGTCCGTAATTTCAAACATATTTTTCCAATTTGAGGAAACTTGACATAACCTCACTCCACGTCACCCTTCACCTCCACTTCATACAGTGAGATTATGTGTACGTTAAACGATGTGTAATTAGAAGTACCGCTCAAAGTACGTCAATTAACCACATATTTTAGCCATAAATTTAGCGAAAAAAATGGTAACAACCGTTTTTACTTCCAACATGACATTTTTTAAATTTTGAGGTTAGCCAACACAAACAACGAAAAAAGCAGGGATTTATTTGAAATGATTATGCAAAACTTTGCCAATTAACAAAAATACAGCGGTCGCGCTTAATACTAAGACAGTCCTATTCGTCCCCCTCTTCGGTGCCATCTAAAAGTGCTCTAGGATTAACACGGCGTCACCTATACGACTGGCTTACCTTCGACTCGAACGTCTTCAGTTTGCCCTCAAAGGACGACAGACAGTTCAGCAGGCATTTCGTCGGTTTATTTAGTTGGACATCGCACACGACGACGTCGGGACGTTTGAGTGCGCAGAGCAGCGATAAGGAGTGCAGGTACAGCTGGTTGGTTATCTGATTGAGCATGATTTCGATGTCGTCCTTTGTTAATGTAGGAATGGTCACTTTTCTGCAACAACAGACGTTTTTAAGCGGTGAACTCGACGGGCTCGCCGGTTATACTCATGCGCTATTGTCAGTCGTGTTGTCTTCTCGAGAATACGCGTTCGAGCCGCTTCATCGTCGATGCCTATAATTTTTAACTCCTCCTCGGAAAGTAAAGGTAGTGTTGATATATCGATGTTGTTATTCATAAGTAGATCTAGGTAGGATTCCGCGTCAGCCGAACGCAAAACGGTTTCTAGCAAATCCATGTTTTTGGAAATTGTTTTTGAGGTTAGGAGTGTAGGTGTGTAGGTAGAAAGCGTCGGTTTATATTAACTACTAATTGTACGATCGAACTACAAGTGATGAGTACAGGGTGCCCCAAATTCTTTCAATTTCCAAGTAACGTTAGATTCGGGTCCAAAATGCATATTTCGTATCTCTTACGGTTCTGGTGAATTCTACTCAGAGCTGTCACCCACTCTGCTTCATGAGTCATCATAAGAGTACTGAATGTTAGAGAGGACAAAAATGATCGTGTTGTACGACTTTAAAACCTTGCTTTTAACATAATTTTCCGGAAATGGTAGTCGAGCTTTCCTATGCTGGAAAGGAGGGGGGGCTCATACTCCCTAAACCCCCTGGTGCAATGACCTTCTGCAATAACTTGTAGGAGAAGGCGAGCTGGTGAACTCACGAAGTGTACTATATGGTGTGGGTCCTGAGGACTAATAGAGTTTTCTGAGGAAAGTGTTAACCGGAGAACTTGAGGGGGGAGGGGGAATTCCCCTGAGTACCGGACGGTTTTATTGGCATTTCTAAAAAGTCATCATGGACGTAATGAGTGTTATAGGGAATGAATCGTGTCTTCCTGTGCGCTTTTAACATTTTCCGGAAATGGTAATCGAACCGTCCTTTGCAGGGGGTGGGGGTGGGGGTGTTATTCCCTTACCTGTGGGTCTGGGTTCCGGAAAATTATGTTAAAACGGGGCAACGTTTGAAAGTTCCCCGCGTAACGCTCATGATGACTTTCTGGAAATGGCAACGGAACCATCGTATGCTGGGGGTCGTCTCTATACCCCCCAAAGGGGGCATTAATACAAGTAAATAATCATATTAAAATTGGATAACTAAATCATCAGTCCTAAAGAGCCTGGTCATATTTGGCAAACGAGAATTTTTCTGAATCACACTCTGGAAATCACTGGCCCTCAATTTTCGCAGATTTCTCTTAGAAAATTACTCATAATTGTAGGAAAATCCCTGTAATCGATTTATCACGCTTTATGTGACTTGACAAAGGGCGAGTGATGTTGGTTGCCTAACCCTAGGCGTTGATTTAAATTGAATTTTGGCCGTTATTGTTATCGGAACGTAAACAAGGTACCTAAGTTTGTCGATTAGTCATAAATAAATAACTAAACAAAAGGTGGATGTGATAGCAACAAGGTCCTTAGGTCAACGTCCACAAGAGGTGCAGAAGGGTGGGGTCGACGTGCAATGTGCATGGTAACAAGGCTTGGTTTTTAAGGGTGGTGGGGGTGAAGCCAGAGCGTGGCTTTCGTAAAAGAGTGACGTCACGCGCATCGCACATCCTCCACCCGTCGTCTTCTCTTCTTGCAGTGCATCGCACAGAGCAGGAGTCACTTCCAGTTGTCGGTCGTCGTGTTCGTAACACTGCTCTAACGCGCGCCCGTGTATTTCGTTCAGTGATTTAAGAGAGATGGCAACCGAAGTTGAGAATAACGTGCCTCCGGCGACCGAGACGAAGGAGATCAAGGAGGAAATTCCGATTGATAACAAAGCAGAGGAGGCCGCGATGAAGCCGGAGGCTGCGGCGGGCGGCGACGCGCCCGTCACCAAAGAGCCGGCACCGCCAAAAGTTTTAGTGCACAAAAGCAACTTCGAGAAGGATATCGTTTACTTGTATCAATTTTCACGCACCCCCTTGTTACCATCCCTCTCCCCCTACTGCCTGAAGGTGGAGACATGGCTGAGGCTCGCCGGATTGAAATATGAGGTTAGTTTTTTATTAAATTTCCTGCCTGTCTTTGTTTTTCAAATTAATTTGGACGTTTTGGGGTTGTTGCCCTCGACTTGACGGGTCAGGGTTGAGCGTCCGCCATTTTATAAACGAATTTCCAGATTTATCTCTTTGGTTTAGTCTTCTCGTGCGTTTAAAACGCGTACAGGGTGAGTAATCAATATCGCAGGGCAGCGGCTCTCCCAAATCGAGATGAATCAGAAACTTGTGTGCCGTTCGACTACGCCCAAAAGTATGGCGCGTCAATTTCCACAATTTTTCCGAGTCCCCATCGGAAAGAGGTTGATAACCCACATTCGCGGGGTGCGTGCGTAGTAAAAACGCGAAAACATCTGTCGGAAGACTGAGAGGCGCGAGGTCGTGGGATTTTTAAACGTCGCTAATTAAAGGCATTAAGAAATTCAGTTAAAAGTGCATTCCAGAGACAATCATCGCCTTAAGTGATCCCTCAACGCTGCGTGTCGAGAGGGAGCGGAAGTTGTAGATAATGGACACGATAAAATTTCCAAACGCGCGCCGTTGACATTCTCAGACAGATTAGAGACTCTTAAGTAATTTATGGAACTAGACAGCCACCCCCGTCTTAAATATTTTGAAATTACCGCCCATTATATTTTGGGTTGACTGATGCGTTATTACAATTAGACATATGCACCAATTATGCGCTGGCAGATATGAACGTTCTTATTAATTTGTTGGTCAATCATGGCTAACTTTTAATAATGCGAACACATACTCGGCAATCATGCGCAATTGTGCGCTCTAACAGAAGAATTTTGTTCTTTTCCAATATTTTTACATTACGCAACTTTGTTTCCCAAATAGCACTAACATAGCATCAAGGATAGAGTAGACTTTTTGGCAAAATTCAGGGTGGTCATTCAAAACATTTTTAGAAAGACTGATTTCATATTACACCACTTTTTATGTTTCCTGGAACTCCAAACGACAACAAATGAAGTTGTTGAACTCCAAATAGCACTAACATAGCATCAAGGATAGAGTAGACTTTTTGGCAAAATTCAGGGTGGTCATTTAAAACATTTTTAGAAAGACTGATTTCATATTACACAACTTTCTGTTTCCTGGAACTCCAAACGACAACAAATGAAGTTGTTGAACTCCAAATAGCACTAACATAGCAACAACGATAGAGTAGACTTTTTGGCAAAATTCAGGGTGGTCATTCAAAACATTTTTAGAAAGACTGATTTCATATTACACCACTTTTTATGTTTCCTGGAACTCCAAACGACAACAAATGAAGTTGTTGAACTTCAAATAGCACTAACATAGCATCAAGGATAGAGTAGACTTTTTGGCAAAATTCAGGGTGGTCATTTAAAACATTTTTAGAAAGACTGATTTCATATTACACAACTTTCTGTTTCCTGGAACTCCAAACGACAACAAATGAAGTTGTTGAACTCCAAATAGCACTAACATAGCATCAAGGATAGAGGAGACTTTTTGGCAAAATTCATGGTGAACTTTCAAAAGATTTTTAGAAAGACTGATTTCATATTACACCACTTTTTATGTTTCCTGGAACTCCAAACGACAACAAATGAAGTTGTTGAACTCCTAGTAGCACTAACATAGCATCAAGGATAGAGTAGACTTTTTGGCAAAATTCATGGTGAACTTTCAAAAGATTTTTAGAAAGACTGATTTAATATTACACCACTTTTTTGTTTGCTGGAACTCGAAACGACAACAAATGAAGTTGTTGAACTCCAAATAGCATTAACATAGCATCAAGGATAGAGGAGACTTTTTGGCAAAATTCAGGGTGGTCATTTAAAACATTTTTAGAAAGACTGATTTCATATTACACCACTTTTTATGTTTCCTGAAACTCCAAACGCCAACAAATGAAGTTGTTGAACTCCAAATAGCACTAACATAGCATCAAGGATAGAGTAGACTTTTTGGCAAAATTCATGGTGAACTTTCAAAACATTTGGAGAAAGACTGATTTCATCTTACACCACTTTTTATGTTTCCTGAAACTCCAAACGCCAACAAATGAAGTTGTTGAACTCCAAATAGCACTAACATAGCATCAAGGATAGAGTAGACTTTTTGGCAAAATTCAGGGTGGTCATTTAAAACATTTTTAGAAAGACTGATTTCATATTACACCACTTTTTATGTTTCCTGGAACTCGAAACGACAACAAATGAAGTTGTTGCACTCCAAATAGCATCAAGGATAGTGCTCTTTCAAAATTGTTTTAGAATCACTGACAAAACTCGATCTTTGATGCTATGTTAGTCCTATTTGGAGATGATTGTTGACAGAAAAACATAATCCATTGAAAAAAATTGGTACGCGCCGGTTCGGGAAAAATTCCGCATTTCACGTTTCTCTCGAGGGCCTAAGAACGAGAAGAAAATCCTTACCGCGATGATTCATGGTTGGAAAAAAAGTTCAGTTAGAGTGGCGGAAAGGTAGCTGAAATTATAGATCTAGCAACCGCTTTTGGTGCCTCGGGCTGTCCTCGTCGGGTGTTGGCATGCGAAGGCCGCGTTTAGAGATGGTTCAACTCCGTAAATACGATTTTCGTCTCTTTATAAATAAGGAAATAGAATTGGATCGCCTTCAGATTGAAATAATTACCAGGTCGTTTGCGTGACGAGCTGGGATTCGTCGAACGAGCGCGATCAATCTTCGAGCAGATTAATTGTACACGATATCGAAGCTCGATGGATTTTCTGAGATTTTTCGCCGCATTCACAAAAAATCGCAGGCAACGAACGGCGTAGGCAAGGACGCAGGTGGGCTCGAAATGTGTCGAGACACGATATTGCGTTCAGGTAAACGACAAACAAGGTGCAAAACAGGTCAGTTTACATGTCAATTAAAACTCCGGTTTCCTTATTCGGACCGATTTTCGATCGGCCTTCGCATTTTACTATCGGCGTTAACGTAAAATTAACGCGTGCTGTTCGTATTTTGTGTCGTTTTCTTTTTTGGGCCTTTTCGGTATCGTATACCTCGGCTTAATCAATGCAATCATTTTAGCCACAAGTGTGTCAGTTTTATTTTGCTGAATTTTGCTGAATATTTTTTACACGAAATTTTGCAGGAGGGCTAGGACACATACTCCAACCTCTTGATGCCACTCATCCGCAAAATTTCACATTATGCCCACAGAAGTTGCTTTCTCTACAAATTTCTTATAAAAAAGGTCGGCAGCAAAATTCAGCAAAACCTCAAGAGAACAGAATATGTGCCGAATCCGCCTTC